GCTGGTTGGCCTATACACGGTACAACCACTGTGGAACGCGGTCTGGCTCTTCTTCAAAAAGATGGGAATGGAAATCCCATGCGACCCAGCGATCCCCGACTTGATAATTCTTCTAACGAAATAAGAACTGCAGCACGCATAGACACATGCACACTCATATTCACTGCAACACGACTCACAGCAGTGAGATGAAAACAATCCGAATATCCAGCCGCGGAAGAATGGGTTCATACACTTCAGCACACACGCACAGTTGAAGGCTAGGCAGTGACAAAGAAAAAAAATAAGTCTGCAAAATACCTCATCTCATGCACGAACCTGGAGCACACATGCTGAGTGAAATCAGTCAATCATAAAAGGGAAAATATTGTAGGAGACCACTATAAGACGTCAATCAAGAAAAAACTATTTCACACGGAAAGAAAAATACTTTGACTGTTATTAGGGGCGGAAGAGGAACCCTGGTGGCATAGTGGGTTACATGTTGTGCTGCTAACCTCCAGGTCAGTGGTTCAAAATCCACAGGAGAAAGACGAGGCTTTCTACACCCATAAAGATGGAAGCTCTGGGAAGCCCAGGGGAAGGTCTACTCTGTCTTGTAGGGACTCGATGGCAGTGAGTCTGGCTTTTTGAGAAGGGCGGGAGGTAAAGGGAGAGCGGGAAAATCACAGACTAGAGGGAGACAGGGGTTCGCCAAGGTTAAGGGGACAATGACATGCAATAAGAGGGAGCTTGGTAAACAATGATGGTCAGTCAAGGCAAGACTGCGAGAGTTGAAGTCAGCAGAGGCCAACACAAAAACAAATGAGTTGATACATTACCATTTACTGACGTCCATATTCTATGAATTTACTTATTTGGCATTGCAATAGACATAGGCCCCATCTACTGCTAAGCAAATACATATATGTGAGCTAAAACAGTATGTATTTTAAAAGATGAAGCCCATGAAATACCACATGCTTTTTTGATGAATCCAACCTGTATCATTAAACAAAAGACCCCAATAACATATTATTCAGTGATAAAAGGAACAAAACCCTGAAAAACATGTTTATCTTAAACACCACTTAAGTACTGTATATACTGGTGTATAAGCCGAGTTTTTCAGCACATTTTTAATGCAGCTTTTGTCGTAAAATTAGGTGCCTCAGCTGATATTCGGGTCGGCTTATACTTGACTAGATAGGTGCATGGCATTCAGGAAAAGGCAAAACTATAGATTTTTGCAGGATGCCAAATGGTTGCAGTGGTAGTAAAAGGCATAGCTGAATAGATGATTTATTTTAGAATAGTGAAACTATTTTGTTTGACGCAGTAGTGCTGAATACAAGGCATTACAGATTTATCAAAGCCTATAGAGCTTTACAGAACGGAAAGTACACTTTAGATAATGCAAATTTAAGAGAAATCATGTAGAAGACCAGGGAGTCCCAGGACAGAATGAAGAATGTGACAAAAGAACCTCCATTTTACAGATCTATGAAACAACTTCATGGAAGTGCATGGAAGAGTAAGGTGCTGACTTGGATAATCTTGGAAATGAGTGGAGTCTCTAACAACACATGCAAAAGGAATTGTACATAAGCACTGTGTTCTAATCTATACGCTTGCTTGCCACAGAGGCTCAAGTGAACAGTTATAAAACCATTTTCACAAACAGCAGAATTAAACAAATAAATGGATGGGATGAGCCAGTTTTCTCATTGTCAGATTTGGAAGTTACAAATAAACAAAAGGAGAGGGTTAGAATGATCCATGTGGCTTAGCACTGGAGATATGAGTATGAAATTATGTTTAGGTTAATATAGATACTGTTGATTCTATATATATGTATATATAAATACATGCACACACACAAACATATATACACGTTTAAACATGGACCCATACTCCTATATATGAGGGGGCTTCAAAAATTTATGGAAAAAAATCCATGATCTTTTCCTTCTATTTTTCCATGAACTTTTTGAAGGCCCTCATATATATTTCTTGTTCTGTCAGCCCTAGTAAAATAAAATACATCATATCACATGCAAGGGTCTTGGATTCCAATACCATTTCCAATAAAAGTAAGCAGGGCTTGTTGGAGAAATGGCTGACTCTAGAACTGACATGGATATATACAATATTAATCTGCAGCATCTTATAATACTAGTAAACAAAAGGGGAGATAAATTGCTTTTTAAAAATCCCAACATAACAATGACAGTATGTCAAATGGATCTATCCAAGGTATAAAGTAAGTATCCAGGAATCCATACATGATCGAATAAATCAATCAATACAGAGAAGAAACACATCTCCCATGCAAAAGAACTCCAAATAACTTATGTGGATACTCAGCCCTCAGAGAGACAGACCATTCTATTCCCTGCTCCTTTCTTGCTTCTTATTTGTGTGACTTCCTTACTACTATATGAAAAGGAAGAGAAAAAAATAAGAGTACCTTTGCATTAAAGAAGCCTGAAAAAAACCACCTAAAAAAGCCAGGTGGTCAAAGTTAACACCCACATCAATGTCCTGTTGATATGTGACCTTGATAAGATGTGAGTGAATGGCACTTTATACTTGTAGTCTTCCTCCTCAAAACACATGATCCCAAAGCCACCTTGGGGAAACATTAGACAATTTCCAATTGAGGAACATTCTACAAAATATTTGACTACAAGTTATTAGGATAATAGAAAACAAGGACACATTGAGAAACTGTAAAACCCATGAGGGAATTGAGGAGCGCCATATAATGAGGCAGATCCTGGACGGGATCAGGAAAAGGACATCATGGTAAAACTGAGGGAATCAAAATAAAGTATGGACTTCAGTCAATAATGATCAAGCATCAACTAATTTAACAACGGTGATATCCTGATGGCACAAGCACGCTAAAATTGAAGAGGACTTGAAGAAATTCCTGGTGGAATGATTACAGCCTTCAGTATGAACCTTAACATAAAAAAAAAAAGTCCTCACCAGTGGACCAGCATCATGACAAATGGAGAAAGGAGTGAAGTTGTCCGGGATTTCATTTTACTTAGATCAATAATCAACACCCATGGAAGCAACAGGTCAAGTGGGCGAACCCCCCGCAAAAGTATTAAAAAGCAGAGTGGTTACTTTAAGGACTCAGAAGAATTGATGCTTTTAAGCTATGGCGTCAGGCTGCCAGAAGAATAAGTACATCTGGCTTGGAAGAAGGATGGCCAGAATTTTGTCTCATAAATTTTGAAATATTATCACAGGGGATCAGTCTCCAGAAGAGGATAGCATGCTTGGTAACAGAGGGTCATTGCAAAAGACCTCCACATCTGGGGTCTTAAAAGTTTGAAGGTAAACAAGCGGCCATCTAGCTCAGAAGCAACAAAACCCCATGGAAGAAGCACACCAGCCTGTGCAATCACAAGGTGTCGAGAAGGGATCAGGTATAAGGCATCACCAGAAAAAAAAAATCTTACCATAGTGAATGATGGGGGGGGGAGTGTGGGGTGGAGACCCAAAGCCCATTAGTAGGCCACTGGAGATCCCTTTGCAGAGGGGTCTCGGGGAGGAGATGAGCCAGTCAGGGTGTGATGTAGCAACGATGAAAATTACAACTTTCCTCTAGTTCCTAAATGCTACCCCCACCTCCACCCCGCACTATCATGATCTGACTTCTACCTTGCATGTACACTGGTACAGATAGGAACTGGAAACACAGGGAATCCAGGGCAGATGATCCCTTCAGGACCAGGGGTGTGAGTGGTGATACTGAGAGAGTAGAGGGAGAGTGGGTTGGAGAGATGGAATCAATGACAAGGATTTACATGTGACCTCCTCCCTGGGGGACGGACAACAGAAAAGCGGGTGAAGGGAGACGTCAGACAGGGCAAGATATGACAAAATAATAATTTTTAAATTATCAAGGGCTTATGAGGGATGAGGGAGTGGGGAGGGAGGGGGAAAATGAGGACCTAATGCTGGGGGCTTAAGTGGAGAGCAAATGTTTTGAGAATGATGAGGGCAATGAATGTACAAATGTGCTTTACACAATTGATGTATGTATGGATTGTGATAAGAGTTGTATGAGCCCCTAATAAAACGATTAAAAAAAAAAAAAGAAAAAGACCTTCACTGAGATGGACTGACAGAGTGGCTGCAATCACGGGCTCAAGGAGCACAGCTGTGAACAGCACCGGGCGGTCCAGGGCTTCATTTTGTTGTACGTAGGGCCAACCTTACAGCAGCAGCAATGTATCAGGATTGATGCGTCAACTGGGACACCCACGTCCCATGCTGAAGTAAGGTGTTAACGAGAGAGGACACTGGGTGCACAGTATGCAGAAACTATCTGTACGGTCTCCACAATAATTCTGAAAATCTAAAACTAGTTTTATATTAAAAACTCCAAACAAATTACTTTGGTAATATAGACAAGTTAATGGGGCTACAAATTGAATTTGGTAAAAACAAAACCCTTTTCATTGTTGCTAGGGGCTGTCAATTTGGGCCCTGAATCTTGGCCACTGCATGCATAACATGCTCCAGCTATTGTGAGCCACAGGGTTTTCGTTTGGGAAATAGATCTACCAGCCTTTCTTCCTAGTCTGTCTTGGTCTGGAAGCTCTGCTGAAACCTGCTCAGCATCATAGCAGCATGCGAGTCTCCACAGGCAGTGAGGTGGTGACTGTCCCTCAGGAGCATTGCTCAGACATTGAACCTGGTCTTCTACATACAAACTGAGAGCTCTGACTGACAGACCACCGCGTGGGATCTGCAGCTTCAGTGATGGGGCAGCTTCAGTAAGAGCTCTTGAACTATTCATGCTTTTGTAACCTTGGAAGAAAAGAGGGGTCTCAGAAATTCCATGTGGTCATGGTACAATACCCTGACTCAATAAAAGATCTTTTGTGCCAATGTAAAGTCAAAGATGGGGAAATACCAACGCACGGACACCAGGCATGACACCCTTCCAAGCTGACTTTTCTGATCCCATGTTGTTGCAGGTGAGAAGCTACAGGTACCTGGGGAATGTAGAAGAGCCCCAGCAGGTTGGCCACGGCCGTGGAGATGCCCGAGCCCGTTGCTCCCACCACAGCGATCGTAGAGGGGATATGCTCCGAGCAATTGCAGAACTCGTCGAGGTTCAAAGAATCGATTTTATTCTGGGCAACAAAACTCAGGGTGGCCTCTAGGGCCTTAGAAACGGTGTTGCAGGTGTCAAAAATCCGGTAGCCAAGCGTCATGTTGGGAAGAAGGGCTGGGCTGCTGTTTATCTCCTCTATGGCAAAAATCATTGCTTGTAACCAGCGAAACCCTCGGAAATTATACCTGGAGGAGAGAGAAAGTGAAGAAAATGTGAGGTTTTCTGGTCATCCGCTTCAGCACAAGGCCTGAGCAAAGCTGGGTTTGACGACGGCTCTGTTAGTACTGAGTTTTGTGAAGCACTCTCTGCGTTTCAAATTCCCCTCTGCAAAATGGGGGAGACTCGTTCTACCACTGAGTGGCAGTGAGGATGAGGTAATTAGGTAAAAACCGCAGCACGGTGCCTCTCAGCCTTCTCAAAGTAACCCAAACTCACTTCCATCAAGTCGATTCTGACTCAGTCACCCAATGGGATAGGGCAGAATTGCCCCTGCAGGTAACCCTTTATAGGTATAGAAAGTCCAATCTTTCCCCCTTGGCATGGCTGATAGTTTCAAACTACTGACCTTGCTGTTACAGCCTCAATGCATTACCACTATGCCACCAGGCTGCACAGACTTGGGGAGCAATAATAAGAATCAAGATGATTATTAGTCATGTAATCAATCATTTGCATATGTGTCATGTGGCAAATAATTTGAAATGGCTGGGATTTTTTTGATCAGAGTTAATACATACATTTTCAACCAAAAAAATGCCTAGGAGAAGTAGAAATTAGACAGGATTTTAATATTGTGGGAAAACCAAAAACAACCTGTGATCTGTAGCCACAGATTGAAACTGACATTCTCGGATGTTAAGAGGAAAGAAAGTGACTTCCTTTTTGTAAATACGCAAATAGATAGATGCTCACGAAGGTTCTATATAAACAGTGGCGATTGGCTTTTGCTAGGTGGTAGAATAATACATTTTAAAATTGTGTGCTTTTGCTTATGTATATGAAGCTTTTAAAGATATAGACTCATGCATTGCTTTTCAAAGAAAAGAAGTACACACCAAGCAAATTAACAAAGAAAGATGGGATCCGTGGTAAAGGTCTCACGATCCCAGGAGCTGAGAGCAGAGTGAAGGCTCAACAGATGAGTCTACCAGTTCCCACAGGAGACAGGGTGACAACACAGCTGCTTCTCCCTGTCTATTGCAACACTCCTTACTTTAACTGAGTAGGTGAGACATACTATCTACAAGTGGCACTACTGTCTACTGAGTAGTGTCTTTCCCTATACCATTCTTGTTCTGAAAGGTTCTGATCTAAATTGTGTGTGGTGTTTCCTTTTTGTCAGTTCCTGTAATATTTCTTTGTTTGCTTATTTGAATTGCATGTTTTAAACTAGAAAGGTTATTAAGAGATATTGCAGAATTTTTCTTCACATAAAACATCTCTGCTATTAAACTGGCTCAACCATCTTTCTTTAATATAATTTTAAAGATGATTATTGAAGGGCAAACTTCTTGCTTGAATACACTACACATCCCCGCGCCCCCGCCCCCCCAGCAGTCCATGATAGTACAACAAAGAGGATATTTGTCCATATGGGTGTTGTGAAAGATCTGATGAATGTCAGTGAAATTCTGCATTCAGTTTTTCTGCATTCAAAAGAAATGTTAGCTCATTTGCCAGCTCCCATTAGACCATAAGTACAAATCCGTTTTTGGGGGGTGTGGCGGCCGGGGAGACACTGGTTTTCATTTTTATTTTCTGTCTATCACAAAGACCAATGGAAAGTGCTGGATCCTTTCTGGAAGTCACAAGACCCAGAGACAAATCCCCACCACCCACTCAGACAGTGAGTGAAGACTTGGGATGCGCACTAAAGTCGCTGATGCCCAGGTCAAAGGAGGTGATGCATGGAGCATTCCTCTTTGCAGGAGTCACATCCTAGGTAAAAGAGTTGTATTGGCTTCTGGATCGGTCATAATAAATTAGGGACCATCCAGAGGGAGGACAGCCAGATAGTGGGGAGGACAGCCAGATAGTGAGGAGTCCAGAGATCATGTCCTGAAAGAATTGTTGAGTGAATAAAATCTATGAGCATTTGGGAAAATAAAATATTTAAGGAAACGTGATAGTTATAATCAAAGAGGTGTCAAATGAGACACGCTTATTCTGGGCAGCTCCTGAATTCTACACAACGGTTAGTAACTCGTTTCAGATTTGTATGAAACTTCCTAATGGTGTCAGTTCTAAAACATTGTGGACAGCATTTTGGGGCATGTCTGCATCAACTTGCTTCCTCATTGCTCTCAAATTGATGCCAACTCAAAGGGACTCTATAGGACAGGGTAGAACTACTCCTCTGAATTTCCAAGACTGTAACTCTACACAAGAGTGGAACGCCACATCTTTCTCCCAAGGAACAGTGGTTTTGAACTGCTGACCTTGCGGTTAGAAGTTCAACTTGTAGCCACTATGCCACCAGGGTTCCCTTGCATCAAATCTAAGATCCTTAAAAAAATAATAAGCGTGAGGAAGCCAATACTCAGGTATTACTGACTATTGGGGCAGATAAGGTCAGTAAGGGTTTGATGATTCAGGCTTTCAAGAAGTATGATAAATTTCTTTCTAGGTTCTTAGTCTTCCACTAAGCAGCACACTGCCATAGGTAAATCATGTTGAGTCAGCTACCAAAGAGCAACATAAGTCATGGATTTTTCTACACAATATCCTTGACATTTTATTTTTGGAAAGGAATTTTTAAAAAGAAGAAAATAGAGTAAGCTTGACTACCAATCACCATTTTTGAAAGGAGAACCAACTTTGAAAAAAGCATTCCTGGGGTTGAGTGCAGCTCACTGCCCCGCCCCCCACCCCCAGTCATGGAGAAGAAAAAGGAAGAGAAGAGGAGAGGATCCACAGACCTAGCTGCTTCCCTTACCTGATACATTCCACGGACTCTGGTCTTGATTTTAGATCTTGGTCTTTGGCTGCTACTCCAAAATGAATCGGAAAGAGCCCCCCAAGGATAATATCCCCTTTCTTCTGGGCTCGCTGGTCAGGCCCATAGGCAGAAGGCTGCCAGGCAAAGGTTAAGAGGATCAAACAGCAGCTATAAAAAGCCATGGTCCTGTTTCCTCTCTGGTGGGATGAGGGACGAATGCTAGAGGCGTGGGAGCCCAAGAACTTCCCCCCTTGGTATAATTCAGTCTCTGTCGTGGGGGCACATATCTACAGAGAAATTTTTAACAGGATGGAGGCAGCGGTGTTTGAATCGCCATTGCTGCCTTCTCCACTGCAGATGAGTAATGTGGGTGATCCTTGAGTCTTTAGAATCCACATCCTGTAGAGACCGTCTGCGATGCTTGCTAAGAGAAAAGAGAAACAAATGAAGTCAACAAAATCTAAATCCCATCTTGTTCTGGTGGCTGCAACACAGAGAGGGGGATCAAGATAAAGTTGAGGGTCCGTGAAAAAGAGAGAAAAACCCTCAAGGAGATGGATTAACAAGGTAGCTGTAACACTGGGCTCAGACATAGCAACAACCATGCAGATGACGCAGAGCCATTTGTTTTACTCTGTTTGACACGGGGTCACTGTGAGTCCGAGCTGATCGCCAATTTATGTTTAATAACTCAGCCACATTTTGTTTCAGCTCATCCTTTGCAAACCCCTCAAAGTATCATCACCTACCCCACTTCCTGAGTTCCTAGTTTCCATTCCTCCTCCTTTCCTAACGTGCTGAACCTTGTTCTTGGCTAAGTGCTGCCTTTGACCATCTTAAGTGGATGCCTATTCTAGCATGGCTGAGTTCCATGACTGAGAGCAATAGTGTTGGGGGTGGGGGGTACCACCTTTGTCTGACCACTAAATCTGGTCTTTATGACTTTGAGTTCTGTTCCAAATTTTCTCTCCCACTCTGTCCAGGACCTTCTTCTTCTTCTCCTTTTTAATCATGTTATTGGGGGTCAATACAGCTCTTTTCACAATCCATCCATCCATCCATTGTGTCAAGCACATTTGTACATTTGTTGCCATCATCATTTTCAAAACATTTTCTTTCTACTTGAGCCCTTGGTATCAGCTTCTCATTTCCCTCCCCCACCTTCCTCATGAAACATTAATAGTTTATAAATTATTATTATTTTATTTTCATGTCTTACTCTGACCGATGTCTCCCTTCACCCGCTTTTCTGTTGTCCATCCCCCTGGGAGGGGGTTATATGTAGATCATTGTGATCGGTTCCCCCTTTCTTTCCCCTCCTTCCCCTTCTCCTCCTGGTATGGATACTCTCAATATTGGTCCTGGGGGGTTTATCTGTGCCCAGGACCTTCTAATGTGATCCTTTTGAGGGCAGTTGGTAGTGATACCTGGGCACTCTCTAATTCTTTATGTCTCAGGGCTACGGAGGCTGATGCTCTCCTGGTCCATTAGATCATTGGTCTGATTGTTTCCATACGTTTTTGATTTTCACCATCTTACCTCTGGACAGGGAGAAACCAATAGTTAAACCTTATGTGGCCACTCAGGAGCTTTTAAGACCCAATCACTACTCATCAAAGTAGGATGCCGAAGATTGTCTCTGTGAACTATGTTATGCCAATTGAACTTGGAGTCACCTGACATTATGATCCTGATCTCCAAGGCCAAGTGACTTATTCCTTCAGGATGTTTGGTTATGTCTAAGTAGTTTTCATAACTTTGCACTTTGAATGCTCCACCAAAGGTAAACATATACAAACATTCATATGTATACATATGTATATATATGCATATATATGTATATTTGTGAGTATACTCCCACTTTCCCTCCCAAACCTGTTCAGCCTGCATGTCTATCTAGCAATCTATTGATGGAGCATGGCTAGTTATTGCAAGGCTGTGAATGTAACAGTATTTGCTTCTGTTGCCTTTAACTCCTGCACCTCCCAAATGTCTTGCCTGAATCAATTTCACCAACCTTCCCTTTGTTATTTATTGTCAACCCCTTTACTCAGGCTAATCTTTGTCCAAGTGTTTCAAAAAATGTGAGATACTATACTACTCCCTGGGGTGCTGGTCCAATGGGGGTGGGGTGGGGTGCTGCAAAAGCAGATACTTAAATGATAAAATTTATATTTATAATTTATAATATAATATAAATTATATAAACCGTATTATGAGCTTTAGTATAAAAGTTTTAATTGCCATGGTTGGGTGGGTTTGTTTTTATTTCTGAAAAGGAGGTGACTGCTCAAATAAGTCTGAGAACCTGTGCTCTAGCCTGTGACTTTCCCCCTGTCCCTAACCATCAAAGTATGTTTCTTTCAGTGTAAAAGCATTTTTCTTGACTTTTCATGATAATGGTCCGTTTGTGATTGACCTAATGACCTCCCAGTTTGTCTATGTCATGAGGTATTCAACAGAACACGGTTATCCTTTAACATTGTGTAGCCTTCCATTGTGTGTTTGGACCAAAGCTTAGTTATCCATTCCTCCCCTGATAGGCATTTAGGTTGTTTACATGTTTTTGCTCTTGTGAATGGTGCTGAGATGAACACAGGTGCATGTAAGTATATATTTATGTAGCAGCTTAATTTTTCTAGGGCAGGGGACAGCCAATTGCGGCTCGAGAGCCATATGCTGCTCTTTCAGTACATACAGGTGGCTTGGAGGTAAAGTTTTAAAAAAATTTAAGGGATATTAATCAGATCATACTGATTCCATTTGTTTGTAAATACATATTTATGGCTCTCAAATAATTTTTGAATTGTTGTGAGGGACAGGATTGGCTTTTCTATCTCAAAAGTTTGCTGAGCCCTGCTCTAGGATGTATGCCAAGTAAAGGTGTGGCTGGTCACATGGCATGTCTATTCCCAACATGGGAAGCAGCACCATGTTGCTTTCTACAGTGGTTACATTATTTTCCAGCCTCAGCACAAGTATTGAGGGTTTCAGTTGCTCTGGACCTTTGCCAGCAGGTGCTGTTTGCTGTACTGAACTTTGCTAGTAATGCTGGTGCAAGAAGTTATTTCATTAGTGTTTTGATTTGCATCTCTCAAGTGGCTAGTGAGCTTGAACATTTTTTCATATATTTGTTGGCAGCATGAAGGTCTTCTTCGGGGACATGTCTGTTCATATTCTTGGTCCACTTTTTCTTCTTCTCCAAAACCTTTTTATTGGGAGCTAATACAGTTATCATATCATGCCATAGTTCAATCACATCAAGCAATATTGTACAATTGTGACCACAGTCAGTTAAAACACTTTATCTTCCTTCCTGAATGCCTTGATATCATCTTCTCCCAGCCTCCCCCACTGTGTCCCCCAGGGGTCCTTATTCTACTTGCTATCTCTCTGGGTTCATCAATCCTGGGTTTCATATACCAAAAAACATATAACAAAAATCCAAGAGGGCTATGCCAAATGACAAAATACATCAGAGCTAAACTCCAATATGAAGAAAATGAAAAAAGTCCCACAGATATGTTGAAAATTGATGAGTTTTTGAAAGAAAACTTCCCTAACACTATGAAAGATGAGAAGATATGCATTTAAGAAGCTACATAAACCCCTAAACAGGATAGACTTTCCAAAATAAAATCACCATTCCATATCAGCATCGAACTTGGCAAAACCAAAGACAAGGAAAGAATCCTGAAAGCAGCTCATGGAAAATGATGTTACCCCAAAAGGAGAAACAATAAGACTAAGAGCTGATTTTTGAGGAGAAACCATGCGGGCAAGAAGGCAAAGGGATAAATATATAAAACCCTGAAGGAAAAAAATGCTAGCCAAAATCATATACCCAGCAAAACTGTCCCTAAAATATGATGGTGAAATCAGGGCATTTCCAAATAAATAGAAATTAAGACCATTTATAAAAACTAGACCAATCTTAGAAGAAATACTGAAGAGAGTTCTTTGGACAGAGAACCAACAGCAGTAGACAACAACCAGATATTAATATACATGACAACAACAACATCTATAAATCAACCTACATATAGAAATATCCAAAGTTGAAAAAGCCTACAAATCTGAAAACAAGGAACTGGAGAACAACAAACTGTGTCCATTTGAAGAAGAATGAAACAGGACCCCATATGTCTCACTATCCTGTTTGGGGTTTATGTAGCTTCTTAAATGCATATCTTCTCATCTTTCATAGCGTTAGGGAAGTTTTCTTTCAAAAAATCTTCATCAATATTCTTTGCAATTTTAATTGTTTCATCATCCTGTTCTGGAATTCTGATTAAACATAATTTTTTCCCCCTCCAAATGGGGTTCCATTTAACTCTTTGGCTTTCTCCTGAAATTTTTGTTTTGCTTCTAACTGTTCCTCTAGAAGATTATTGAGAAATTTGTCTTCACCCTCACTAATTCTGCCTTCTATTAATTCAATCCACTTTGTTCTTTCAATGCATTATGTTTGAAATCTTAGTATTGATTTTCTGGATTTCTATTTGAAGTTTTTCTGTGGCGTCTGATTTTTCTTGCCTTTTTTTTTTTTTAGGTTATTTTGTTCTTGTAGTGTTTTCTTGGAACTTTTCTCATTTTTTCCTATGTATTTGGGGCACAGGTGTGGAGTTAAACCTGGCTATGAATCCTAGCCCTACTATATCCTCACTATGACTCTGGGCCAGTTCAACCTCTCAGATCTCAATACAATAACAGATGGAGAGCTATTAACACAGTGCAACTAGTAGTCTCACAGAAAGTGATAGCTATGATGATTATCTTTCCAACCTTACTTTTGTGTCTACATTTTGAGCTCTGTATTCCAGTTAAATTGAAATTACATCAGTTCTACAAGTACAAGAGACGTTGCTAAACCCCAAGGCCCTGTGCATGCCATTTTCCTTCCTTGGAAACCATTCCCGTCTAGCATCTACTTATTCTTAAGCTTTGAGACACCAGTCCTGTGGGGGCATGGTTTGGTGAACTTGTGTAATGAAGAAAGGAATTCATTCAAAGGGCAGATACAGCCTTTTACCAATGTTCACAGTGTGGAAAGTGGAGCACAGGCTGGCTTTCCCCTCCTGCTCATGCCTTAGTTGTGTGCTGGCAACTTACAGGACTCTTCAAGGAGGATCTTTCTCTGAACCTTCAAGCAAAGTCCACTTGCTTCTAGTCTCCTACATCTTGGATCTTGAATTTTTCTTCTTGGAAGGTTCATCACACTTTATCATGGTGATGCTTGCAAGTGCAAAAATCTGATTCCACAGCCAAATCTCTTAACCCATGTGATGTGCCCTTTAGCAGTCCCATATGGTCCTCTAACAGCCATTCTAGCTGAGTGAGGTGAGTCACCTGGAAGGAGCAGCCCAGCAGACTTTTTTTTTTTTTAGCCCAGCAGACTTTTAACATGCATGTAATTACCCTAAA